CTCTGTTTCTCAGGCATCCTGTAGTATCCAGATAGCCTAGGACAGATAAATGAAAGTGGTATACACTGTTTAAATGTTAAATAATTTCATTGGCCTTTATTAGTAAGTTTACTGCTTCCATCCTGGAAAAAAAACACAACAAACAACAAAACCAAGCACAGAAACCAAGCCAGTTCCTCTCCACTCATTATTTCAGTGAACACTGCACAGTGTTCAAGGAAATAAACATCAGACAAACTTTCTCATAGGCTTATTTGCGATGAAAAGATTCAATGCCAAAGACAGATTTCTGCCTATTTTAAAAAAGGGAGATGACCTTTTGCGCTCTAGTTCACTGCTCCTCTCGCGCTGAAAGACATCAGCATCTGGAAGCTGCTCAGGTTGCACGACTGAAGTGTGTCAATCATTTCTGTTATGAAAAGACAGACCCTTAAAAAAACCTGACAACTTGTTTGTTAGGGGGACTGTGGGACGTACTTTTAAAAGTCACAGGGCCTGTACTTCCTGAACTGAAAGCGAAGATAAATTTGCACTAGAACATTTGAGTGCCAACCCATGTGCTTTATTCTAGACACCCTTGCACTTGTTTCTGTTATTGTTTTATCTGTTGCTGTCATTGAAATGAAAGGGCTTTAGGTGAGAATACATTTAAGAAGGATCCACACTTTGTTTTCAAAAGAATATCTGTCACTGAAAAATAGATTTTCTTCTAAAATTTCATGGACTAGCACTTGTTCTACTTACAGGGAGGCTTTTTTTTTTTTTGTAAACCTCATTTCATGCCATATTTATCCAGACTTGCTGAGGCCTGTGAAGCTTCATATAAATCTGGGCTTATGCTGCAACTCAGAATAAATGCTAATTTATAGCTTTTCCCCCTAGGCCAGGCAAAGTTTGTATATCTGACTGAGTGTTGCTTTGTGGTTTTCAGGGGCAAGGGAAGAATTGACTGTAAACCTTAAATTAAGTCCATGTAAGCTACCAACAGGAACAATTTTATAAACACTGAAACCACAAAACACCTTGATTTTTATTTTTCTCTGATAACCAAGGGTGGTATCTGTTAATTAGTACTGGTCTAGTTATGAAGTTACGTTCGTTAAATCACCATACAAGCGACCGTGGTTGTTTTAATTTATCAGGTCATTAAATTAAAGGTAAAGCTCTGGCATGGTCACTTGTACAACCTCCAAGTGGTTGATGAGCTATATTGACACAGTGTGTTTGATGTGGAGTCCTGCTTGCAGGTGGTGCTCTTAAAACACAAGAGGATTTTCTTTTAAAGGTTTTTGTCATCGAGTGATGTGTCCTATAATACCTTGCAGTATCTCTTCCGTGTCCCTGCATACCATATGTCAGAAAATAATCCATCCCCAGATTTTACAGTAAATCTAGTGAGTACAGACAGGACTCTGTCATAATACCCCGTTATGTACCTTGCTGTCCGGTCCCCCTGCTCTAAATACGAGAATTATGCTTTGGCATAATTCTGCCAGGTGTATTTAGAGAGAACCAATGTCCCTCAGACTTGCTCTGACAGGTATGCACTGCGGCCCAGTGTACATCATTGCCCAGGAAAAAATCAGGATGCCTTCCAAGCATCTGCTTAGAACATATTCCAAAGGGAAAATGAGATATGCTTGTAATGCAACATGCTCCTGTCATGTATCCATGTTATAATGGAGGAGATGGACTTGGATGATCCCTTGGGTACTGTCCAATTCAGGATATTCTATAATGCCACATATGACCTTTGATAAATTCTGGGAAAAGATATTCACAAGCATCAGTTTTATGTGAGTGAAGGGAACTTGCTGGTGGAGTGAAGGACTCCCTGTTCAATTAGCTGCTCCATATTGCAGGAGTTCCACAAATGCCAAGGTCAGGGCTTTGACTCAGTCCTTGCTATAGGGCTGTCTCAGTAACTGGAAATGTGTTTCAGCTCGTACTCTGCCAAGAAGTTTTTTTCAGATTTTTAGAAAGCAAAGCAGAGAGGAAAAAAAGTTTTAGTTCAAATCACCAAAATCACAGTATCTGATTCGGAAAAAGCCATGTTTGACTCCAAAATGTGTTCCCCATTTGAGCACTTTTTTGCTTTTTAATTTTTTTTTCAAATGTTTGAATGTTTTTCTTTTGAATAAACAGAATTCCAGGCTTATTTGTGAGGCATGCTTCTGAATACTCCCTTCCTTTCCTCCTGGTATTATGTAGAGGGTTACAGAGCTCTTTAGAAGCCTTTTGACTGTTGGTGTACCTTTGACCAGTGCATCAGGGCTTGAAGGACTTATGGAGCTTCTGAAATACTCTCATATCAGTTAGATTCTCTAACTGAGCAGTTGCAAACCCTTACTGACTGTCCTGTTTCTTTTTTCCATGACTACATGAAAGATATCTCATTGTCTTGTTATTTTTAAAGCTTTGCTGGTTTATTAATAGACTCACCGGTTTTACTCTTTAAATTCTAGAAACAAATAAGATTGCCCTTGCTTTCTTAGATCCTCCTATTTTTCTGCTCTGCATTTCTTTTCACTCATTGAATTCAGTAAAGAAAAAAATTATTTCGCTTATCTTTCATATTCTAACTTCTTGCATTCCTAAGAAATGCTTTGTACAGCTTTCCAGGTATCACCCATTGAAAAAGTCTAGTATGCCTCCAGTATGCCAATCTTTGCTTTACTCACATTATACCTTCTTTCCCTGCTTGAGTGTGGGCTTTCAGTGGGAGGAACTGTTCTATTGCCTGTGCCTAGCACACTTCTGAATAGCTGCTGAAAAACACCTTTTTAATTTATTTTTTTTTTAATAATGAAAAACATTTAATGATCATTTTGTGAAGGATTAGGTTCTATTGGCAGATTAGAATCTTTCAAGGCACTGGAACTTCAAATAGTTGAGTATCCCACAACTTAAAAAGAATGCAATCCATGAATTATCCTGGCTGTGTTTTTCTGTGCTGCAACAGCCAGACCAGAATGCTTTAATATCTTGGTCCTTTACTGAAGGTTTCATTCCAGAAACGTTTCTCACTTCTTTCAGCTATTCCTCACTCTAACTCTTTGATTCAGGTAGTGTTGTCCTGAGGCTAAAATGCTACTAGCATTTTATATTCAATTTTGTTCTCTTTATATATCTTTAATATTTAAAATCTGCTTATGCCATCATCATTTTAATGTCTAAATATTTGTAAATTAGTGGAATATTGCAGTAGAAGCAAGCATAAAATACAGTCCTAAGGTTAAAAATCACTGACTGATGCAGTTCAATTTTCTTAATAAACAAGAGCCTTGTAGCCTAAAATTCAATCCACAGCTCTCAAGTACTGATGACAATCTTAATTTCCTAAAGAAATGCACTTCTTTGTCTTTCAGATAACCTCTCTCTTCATCCTAAATGTGAGTGCTGAAGGAATTTTAGCTATGGTTAACCCCTTGCATACCAATTTTAAATAATGCTGAAAATACCAAGTGTGGTGGGTATCCAAGAGAGGTCTGTGTCCTTCACCGGTAGCATTCAGTGGGTCTTTTCTGTCCTCAGCTTCTTACAAATGAAGATATGAGTAGCATTTGCCTTTTGGACTTCTAAATTTAGGCTTTGTGCCAGTATATACACAGGAGCTGAGTTTCTCCTTCACTTTCTGGATTAATCCCAATCAAGTGTGGCAAATCACTGCTCAAGGGCCCATTTCAGAACAAAATAAGCACATCCCTCTCTGGCTTTGGCCACTTTGAAATCAAGCTGTTGTTGACTGAAGGTCCAAATTATAAGGAAATCAAAATTATGCCATGTATAAGCAGGGTAGGGCTCTGAAACACAGATCCATTATTGTCCAATTCAGTAATGCTGTTATTAAACAACTTTGCAATTGTTCAGTTTAAAGGGCATTCCCACAAAACTTTAATAGAGTTGATCTTGCCTAAATGACTTAGAAAATTTGAAAACAATCCCAGAATCTACTTTTAGCCATTACTTTATTTTTTTAAGGAAGAGCAAGGTGGTGGCCCATTACTATAATTAATGGAACCACATCTAGGTCCAAAGTTGCTCTGAAGTTTAATGCCCCAGACAAAGCCTTGTTAGTACACTTAATTGTTTAGGTCGGAGTTTGTTACTGATCTGATAGTGGCACCAAGGATGTATTCTAATTTATACTGGTGTGAGAGAGAGAGTAGTCTGTGACAAACTAGATTCTGATGCGGTCTTCTCATTTTGGAAAGACTCTTTTCATCATGGTGGTTGAATGGGGGAGTTGTTCAGGTGCTGATGTTCAGGTGCTTTGGGATTTTATTTTGGGCTTTCCACCCCTTTTTTTCTGAGGATGCCCTCTTAAGCCAAGTTGAATAGCTTGCCAATGTTTAAGTTTGGAGATGGCTCTGATCAACTTGCAGGATTGCTGGGTGGGATGATGGGGGAACACACAACAGGGGGTGTGACCTCAGTTTTGTCCGTGTGCCCCTCTAATCACTGGGCCTGAGTATCTCGCGGGACAGGATGAGTTCTTCTCCAGCTCTTGAAGGTTCAGACCTATGCCTTAAACACCCGAAGAGCTGCCCACACGTTTAACCTGCCTTCTGAGAACAGCCACGGGGAAGTCTGCGCTGTGTCTTCAGCTGATACCCGGGTACCGGCCGCTGCTCCTGGAGCTGTAGCTCCAGCAGCGTCGCAGCTCAGCAGCCTCCTCCCGCAGGAGCCGAAGCCCCGGTCCATTCCCTGCCCTGCCAGCCGGGCAGCCCGGGGTGCTCGCGGCATTTCTGTCCCTCCATCGCGGCGGGAAGAATGACACTGGGGAGGGGTTGGTGTGCTCGATGGGGAGCGGGAGGAGAGATGCGCTTTTTGCCCGCCGCTTTGCTTTTCCTGCCCGCGGCGGGGAGATGCTGTCGGGAGAGGGAGGGGGGGGGGGGTGGGGGGGGGGGCGGCGGCTCCAGGCTCTCGGCTCCCGTCCCTCGCCTTCCGCCGGGCTCGGTGCCGCCCCCGCCGAGGAGCCGCCGCTCCCAGCCCTGCCCGTGCGGCGAGAGGCGCGATCGCCCGAACTCCTGGGAGGGGAGACACCACCCGCCGCCGCCGCCGCCTCCTCCTTTTCCTTCTCCACCTCCTCTCCCCCCTCCCCGCCGCAAACCCCAAATAAAAGGGGCGGGGGGCGGCAGGATGCGCCGCTCGGCGGGGAGGTCGGCGCCGCCGCCGGCCGCCTGATGCTGCCGCAATTCGCCATTGCCGGGCACGGCTCGGAGCCGAGCGGAGGGAGGCGGGGGGCAGAGGCGGGGGTCCCGGGGGCAGAGGAGCAGCAGCCCCCCCTGCCTGGCCGCCCCCGCGGGCCGCGGCCGCCGTCCCCCCCGATGCCCGACCGCCGCCGGCGGGGGGCCCCGGGGGCCCGCTCCTGTCTCCTCTGGCTCTTTGTGTTGCTGAAGGTAAGCGCCGGGGAAGGGAAGGGGTGCGGGTCCCCCCGCTCCCGTGGGCACCGAGCCCCCTCCGCGTCGCCTTTGTGTGCCTTTCCCGGCGGGACCGCCGCGCCCGGGCACGGCCCGCTGGCGACGGAGGCAGGGGCTCATCCCCGGCTGTCCCTTCTTTGTGCTCCCGGGGGATGTGCGTGTGGCTTTGGGGGAGCGGCAGGGAGCAGCGCTGTCCGCCGTGCCCCGGGTCGAGGTGCGCTCTCTCTCCCACATCCCCACCGAAAGTGCCGGCAGCCCAGGGGAGCGGCGGCGGCGCTTACCCCATCCTCTGTCCCCTCCAAAGTTCCCCGGCTTTCAGCCGAGGCGCTGGGAGAGGGGCGATGTTTTGCGTTTTGGGGAGCGCTGCCCCGCGGGCCGGGCGGGCGGTGTCGGCGTCGCCGCGCTGTCCTTCAGCACCGCCCGGGCACCGCGCCGGGTTCTCCCGCAAATCCCGCTTACCTTCACCCCCAGCAAGAGACCCGCTAACGAAGATGCAGCTAACAAAGGGGAGGGTGGTGTGTCGTGTTGGTTTTATCCTGGCAGAATTGAACGGTTCTTTTCTGATCAGCGATGTGCCATGTTCAGGCTCAGCCTATCTTCTCGGCAGATTAATTTTTCAAAGTTCTGCCTAATACTGCAAGCTTGGTTTCACATGACATTTTTTATCTCCAACGCTTTCGCTCCTTTAATGGTTTCTCAGGCATATTTAACGTGCTTCGTGTAACTTCCAAAAGAAAATCTACGTACTGTCTAGGTGAATACTCCTGACTATAAATGTCATTGCCCTAAAGAACAGAGCTCGGCACTACTAAAAACTTTGTTGTATGTTTGTCAGTCACTGTTAAGGAGAGCTCTGCAACTAAGGACCTGACCTTTCGGCGTCATGTAAATGTTCTGTGGAAATCATCAGAACTCCTTGTGTGAATAAGAGTTTGCAGGATCATGTCCTAGAACAGCAGTGGTGTCGCTTCTAAAATTGACATCGCATTGACAGAACTATTTGAAGGGAAGCTTTCGCAGCATCTGTTCACATATAGTAGTCAACTGTCAGCTGTCTCATTTTCATAACTGCTGAAACATACATTTATGCAAGATAAAATGTTAATACACAGAAAAAATTTTGTTCCATAGAATTTGGCGATTAAAAAAAAGCAAAAGAGTTATTTTTAAGAAAATAAGACTGTGGATGTTAGGGCCCAGCAGAAAGATTAAATTTCTAGTTCGATCTCAGATATAGAAGTGCACACAGTTTTAAGTATCTGTTTTATCCCATAATCACACAATTTACATTACTCTAAATCCTGGCTTTTTAAAAAATAAATGAAGTTGTTTTGGTGCTGTGTTTTTTTAATAGCACTACTGTGGTAAAGCAAGACAGAAAATAGATAGTTTAAATTTGTAAAATACTATACTTGAAAAATAAATAATACATCTCAAGAAATTTGGTAAGGTGTGAAGGCAGCCAAGGCCTCAGGTTTTCATTGGAAAGTGGCCATCACTTCTCAGCTGGATAAAACTCAGACAAACCTGGGACTGTAAAGACAAAGAGAGGTGATGAGCATTAGCAGAATGTTGTAGTGTAAGAGAAGGTAAAGCTGTAGCTTCAGATGGAGGTACATCAGTAATGCCATGTGCCTGAAATTCACTGAGTTTTCTTTAATGTCTGTGTATTTCTTTGCAGTGGCAAACAATTGAGAACAACCAATTTCAAAACAAGGCATTCCCTAGTTTTGTGCTGTTTACTTCTGCCGACTTGTTGAACCAATACTAAAATTACCCAGCTTCAAGTTATTAAATTGGTGTTTCATCTAGAAGTTACTTTTGGTGAGAAAGGAGTGGCATTGAACTGATGAATCTGAAGACAGGCAAAACTGACGTCTGTGTGCTTGCTGTTTCGGCGTCAGCAGCCCAAATGTCACTTGCTAAGCTGAATCTGCTTGATGTGGCCTTGATGCCCATCTGGCAATTTGTAAAATCATCAGCAGACTTTGCACAGTGACAAAACTGCTCAAAGCACATTTTCCTCTTCTCTTCCAATTGTTGTCATTTTGTGGTGCAAAGTAATGATTCCAATTTATTCTAAATCCTGACGTTGTCTGAAGTTGCTGGTACAGTCGGTGACTAGGGGAGGTCAAACAGGGATATTGCCCAGTGCATGTCATATGCCTGATATGGTTGCTCATTGACTAGTAATACTTAGTTCCTTCTTTCACAGCATGATGTGAATGCTTCCTGTGCTCCAGGATGGTACTATAATATTATTTTTGGAAATATAGCAATGTGATCTTGAACCTTTATCATTCTCTTTTTTTCGGTAGTTTTCTTGTGTGATGACTGGTTTAGAAATTAGCAGAAGAAAGGCATTGTGTGTGAGCTCAAATATGAATATGGATTTACAATACTTTTTAGAGGAGCAGAGCTGTGTCTTGCTTCAGAGAAAAGACTCCAACCATGCTGCTGTAGGAATCTCTTAATATATTGCCATTTTGCAATGGGTCTGTGTTCTCTGCTGTTTCGGTCAGAACGGATGGAAGGCATAGTCTTTAGCTGCTTGCTTCATAATCATCTCATTTTGGTGTGGCAAAGGCATGGCTGATCACAGCTGAAGGGAAAAGCTGTACCTCAGCTAAATAAAGAACAATGAGAAGTAGACACTTTCCCTGATTCCAGTGACTGATGTCATCTTTGCTGTATCTTTTAATTGCAATCCAACAACCTTTCCTTAGTCATGACTGCACTGAGCTTTGACCAGTTGAAGTTCTGCTCTGGGTTATGTGACTGGTATGTCAGAGGTATGTCCAAGCTGTTGGTATCTTGTACTTGAATGATTTTATGTTGCTTTTATTATTTATGTGGGAAAAGGTAGAGCTTAAGTAGAAGAAAAAACCACCTTGAACAAGCCAAACCTGATGCTGGGACGTGATGTACAATGTTACACCTCCAAGATGTTCTGACCAATGCTCTCAGTAGGCAGATAATGAGAAAACTGGTTGTCAGAGTAGTTCCATGTATGGACTAAATAGGAGGGATCACACTCTTCAGGAAAATTTTCTACAAATAAAGTAATACAAATCATATTTCCAGGAGACTGAGGTCCTTATATATCAGTCTTATATATGCTTTTCATATGAAGCAGCAACACTCTCTCTCTTAGAAAGGACAGCTTTTTGTGTCTAGCAGGGTAGAATTCTATCCAATACTACATCAGTTTATGGAGTTTGGCATCACAGCAAAGTCCTACTTCAGGTTTACGTGGACCAAGACATTCAGGGAGATTTAGATTCTGTAAGACTTTACTCGGCTCAACCTTACCCAACACAGGAAATATGTTTCTGCTGGTGTAATTTTCAAGAACATCTATATCTTCAGTTAATAATCTGAAGTAAAGATCATACCATCAGGATACGGCCTCTTTCTGTGGGAGAAACCTTTTTGAGAGAAAGGCTGATTTCACAGCTGGGAACCCCAGTGCATCACCACTGTTTCCTTCTGCCTGGGAAAAGCAAAATGTTAATGTGAATTTTGATATAGAGTCCTTTTAGCATCTTCTCTCTCCAAGAGATGGTGGCTGAAGCTCTTACCAAGAAAGAAAGTTTGCTTTCTTTCCTTATGATCATATTCTATTAGCACCAAAATAAGATTTTAAAAAAACCCCAAACCTATCTTACCAGTTCATTTTTGTTTGCAAAACAAATGTAAGTGTTCCTCATGATAAGACAGGCTCAGAGGAACTACTGAGGTAAAACAGTCTTTTCTGCTTACCACTAGTCTGAGACTATCCAGGCTGTATGGAAGAGAAAAGCATCCTACCAGAAAAAGCATACATTTTCTTTTTTAAAAAAACTTTATTATAAGTAGGCATCCTTAGACCAAAACTTCTAAAAGTCATGTTCTCTCTCATTTAATCATTTTTATGGGTTATTTCTAAGCCAGGGTGATTCCAGAGGGCAAAGCTAAAGAAGGGGATGGTTATGCCAACTCATGTTTACGGAACTGTAGTAGGCAAAACCCTCTCTGCAACCGGAATAAGAATCTGCTGTTACCCTTTGGCAAATTTCTGATTTCGTTGCGGTGAAATGACAGGGGACCACTGAGAAAAGATCCTTCCTGCCTGCAGGAGTTATGAGCCTCAGACTCAAATTGCACAAGGTCAGGAAGGCAATTTCTAAGTTCACCCCGGTCAGAAGCCGCTCTAAAGGGTGATCCCTCACTCGGGCTCAGACAGGGACTGTGCAGAATAAAAACCTACCTGTGGCGATCCCACGGCCACTGATTAAAGGACTCTTGGGCAATGTGCTGGCTGAACTTGAGAAGCCCACTAATCTCTATATTTCTGCTGTCACCACACAGAGGAATATCACGAAATGACCTTACAGAGCTTCAGAATGAATGTTAAACTGAACAAAGTCTTGTGTAAGTCCACCTTGAGATTTATTTTACTAGTCAGTCTCAGCTTTGGAGGAGAGAACTTTTTTTTACTTAGGTATATGGGTCAGGACAATAAATGTCAAAAAATAAACCTTTGAAAACAGGTGTATTTGCTGAAGAACTTAAGAGGCTCATAGTTAATTTAGAGTCAAAGTGGTTTTTTAAAACTATTTCTGTTTTCCATTGCAGAAGTATGTATTGTTGTCCTGAGCACTCTTCTGGTAAATTAGTGGTTTCATTTTTGTTAGTCAGGATTTTAAAGATTCTGTTTTTAAGGGAAAAATGAATTGAATGCAATTTAAATAAAAAAAATCAAGTTTTGATAAATGTTAAAAATGTTTCAAAATAAAGATCTTTAAGGAGTTTAATACTTAGGAGTGCACTCATAAAATGAAGAGACTGGCTTATTAAATGTTTTGCAGACAAAAGATATTACAATTTTTTTTTTAATTAAACTTCTATCAATGTATAGTTGAAAAGAGGAAAATCTTTGAGAGGAATGTGGCAACATATGCCAGCTGCCACGTGCGTAGTATAACAGATGAATAGGG